GTCTGTAACTCAGTGAATTCATGCTGCCACTCCATGATTTTCTCATCCACTGGATGATTAAGTTGTAGAATAATTTGACAGAGGCATTATTACCTCAACCAAGGGAAAAGGAAAGACAATTTTCACACAGAAGAGGAGCTAATGCCACATTGTGGTAGCTGACAAATATGAGCAACGCTATGTGGATCTAATTTACTAACCTAATCACTCATAGCCATTGGATTGATAGTGGATCTCAGCATTTTTTACCAATTCAACGGTTGTGATAGTCGAAATAATGTTAGTGGACAAATATAATTGGAAAAAGCTTCTGCCTATACAGAGGTTTAGCTACATGGGAAAAACTCAAAGTAAGCTAAGAAAATACTTGTACAAGACCCAGTTAAGTTGATTTTTCCATTGCCCCAGCCACAGAAAATTTATCCTCTTCCCAATTATTTTCCTAAATTTTCTCAGCAACCAAACAGCCACATGCTGCTTGTTCATATACCAAATTCTGATTTTTGTACTCAATTTTCACATGCCATGAAAAATATCATTCTCAAGCTACAGAAAATTACCCACTTGAATGCTATAAACCTATGTCACTACATAATTCGATAAGTATTTACCAAAAATATCAAATAATTCCATTCGTTTGATTGTGTATGTGTGCGTGTGTGTACAGAGCTGGAGATTGGGAAAAGTAAGATCAAGACAACCATTATATTGTACGATGACGAGAGCGAGAGATAGAGATATAGTTCTTACCCTCCGAGCCTCTGGAGAGAGAGAGAGCTCCTAGGGTTACAGAGATTGCATCTTGCGTTTCGCTTTGGAAGAAGGAAATTTGGATCTTCTTGTGAGTGCCAACGGGTAGGGCCGGGTCTGCTTTGTGTGGGATGGAGCACACTAAAATCAATTTTTTTGTACCTCTTTTTGTTTTTTCATTCAAATAAAAAGATGACATGTAAAAAAATTATATTATTTAAGGTTATTCTATTTTATTGACAATCAATACTTACAAATAATTCAAAATAAGATCCCTTACTAAGATTTACTAGTCTAATCTATGTGGTTTCATCAATAAAAAATTTCAAAAAAATAAAAATAATAATATTAAACTAATCATTAAACTACTATGTCACTTATAATACCGAGTCATCATACGGATGACAATCTTAACACATTATAAAATGAGATACATAATTAGTAAATTATGATTGAGTAATTTTTGATACAAACTCGCAAACTAACCAGATTCGAAAAAAACACTAATACCAAACTAATCGATAAACGTCACTAATACCAAACTAATTGATAAACGTCAACCGTAAATAACATATCACAATTCATTAAACTAAACTTGCACATGTAGCTTAGTACGGTGGGGTTAATTTGAGACGAACTGTAAAATAAAGCGAATTATAAACTCAGACGTCCTATATTTAACCTTCGCTGATTTCTTTGGGATTTGATTGATACATATGCTTATCAACTCATTACAAATATTAGCGCTTATTCTACAGTGGTGAATCTATTGTGGCTCTGTGTTGAAAAGGCTTTTATCACTGGGACAAAAAACTCATTGAACTGATATAAAATGGGAAAAATTTCCCATTTTTTTATGTTTTTCAAATTCTGTATAGAAATTAGAGAATCCTTACTCAATTTTGCAAACATCTGGACTTGAATTTTTAACTTATGGAAGGCCTATAAAAGTATATTTTCACCAGCAAGGTCATTCAGCAACCACAGTAAGGCACATTCATGAGCTTGCTTTTGTTCCAACTTGATTGGGCTAGTAACATTAATAACAGAGTTTCAGTCAGCAAAAATGATGCTAAGAACCTCACATCCCCTTCATGATGAAACAGTTTCCCAATTTACATCTATGAGCAAAAGCCTTTTCATATTTAACCACTAAAATCTTCTTCCACTGGCACCGGAGTTCCTATAGCATAAACGCTTTGGCACCAAGACCACCATTGTGTAGTACCAAAAAATCACCCAACTGCTCCTCCCTCCGATGGGATGTGGCATTTCCCACCTCCAAAACCACCAAGAAGATGAGGAAAAACAATAGTATGTTAAAAACTCCAACTGATGCAAGCCAAAGCCCCCACATCACAGTGAGGGCTTGCAGTTCTCTAAGTCTTCAGGCCGGTCCCCACCCCCACCCCATACAAAATCCCTCAACCGACCCCAAAAAAAAGGAAACAAAAAGATAAATTATGCACTGACAACACCAGAGACCCATGGAACAATCAACGGTGCATTTGGGTGAGCATTTCTGTAAGATTCAGAATATTTGTCCTTAAAATTCAGTCTGGGCTTCTCCGCCTGCAAATTGAAAATGCAAAACAAGAATGTTAGATGTGGCTAGATATACACGAGAGTTTATGATCAAATGCAACGTAATTTTGCTCAAGTTAATTATTCTGTTACAACGAAAGGCATGATGAAGCGCCAGGGTGGTCAATGCTTACATATTTCAGCCAGCATTCCAGATGTTTGTGTTGATAAATATCTGGGGAATAGCAACCTGTCTCATATGGGCAATAAACCCATATATTGCATTTCTTTTCACCTTCTTTGGCATGTTTAGCTTGATCCAAGCAAGCTTGGCAACAGTCATAAGCAGATTCTTTATGGTGGGTAAGGCCCCATCTGACAGCAGAACCATCATAATCTGTATGAAGTTCCGCATGGCATTCAGGAGGAAGCTGCCTGCCTGGTAGAATCTCCACCTCTGGAGAGAAAAGGGGTACCTCAGTAAATATGGAAAATAAATTTCAAAACAAAGGAAACAAATCCTTCAAAATAGCAGAAATGGTTGATGCATGAAGACTATATATATATATGTATATATATAGAGAGAGAGAGAGAGAATATTTTTGGATTAAAATTGAATAAGATTTGATTACCAAACTCTTCTTCACCCTCAGGCTTGTCATCGTGTTCTGTGTTCCTAACTTCAATGGGTNGTATAGAGAGAGAGAGAGAGAGAGAGAGAGAATATTTTTGGATTAAAATTGAATAAGATTTGATTACCTAACTCTTCTTCACCCTCAGGCTTGTCATCGTGTTCTGTGTTCCTAACTTCAATGGGTATCCAGAGACCAATTTCCTCAGACAGCTCAGCCCAATTGGACTCCAGAGCTTCTAAAAGCATCTCTAAAAACATGTCAACAATTGATCAGCAAAAATGTTACAGTTCCACTTATTGATACACTAGCAAATCTTATCTCCCACAGGGACAACAATCTTAAAATGCTGCAAAAGCAGACCCTTCAAAAGATGAACACTGAGAAAACAGATTATACCAGCTTCCTCAATCAGGATGGTAGAATTTATGGTCTTTCCACGGGTCAATTGCTTAGCTTCCTTAATTTTTTCTTGGCGCCAACTTTCAACAGCCTCTGTTCATTAGAAACAGTAACAACAAATTGTAGTGAGACGTGGACCAAAATACAAAGGAACCAATATAATAGATACCACTAATCCATGGCAACATGATAGTCATCTTATTACAAGTGGTTGAATCACAGTACTAACCAACTCATATATGCTTCTCAGACAAAAGGGAAAAAGTATTTGTGCTTTTGAGCTGCTTAAACAATGGTTTGGAAGATTATCTGCTTTGGACTATTACAGACCCCGACAAAGGATTTAGTACCAACTCTGCAGAAAAGCAAGACTAGCATGCTCCTGGTTACGAGAAATTTCAAAAAACTAAATGAGAATACACTATGGCTCCAGTTATTCAGAGTAAGTATTTAAAATTTGTCATTGTAGTCAATAAATTAATTTTTACTTTTACACGAAAACACTGCATAATAAATTCAGATCAACTTACTTTCATCTTTCTCTCGGGAATTTATTTTATTCACTGCCCCCTTCCCCATCCTTATTCTCCCGGCAGGGGTAAAGTAATGCCCCTTGAGATACAAATTTGTAACAAAATGGAAAACACACATATACAAAACAAGTGCATAGGCAAATTTTCCTCCAAATCTCACTACAAATACCAAGCCCATACAGACACCATTTGACATGAGCAAGACTTTTGTCTTTTCCATCCTCCGAACAATATTTTCAAAGTACCCATTTGACTCCAACACAGCGTAATCAAATAAAAATTCATTTACATATTGGAGTTGAAATTTTTAACATAACTTGATATTAGTTATATACCTAACGGCGATTCATTTGATATTTGTTTTGTGCATCAAGTCGTTTANAATATTTTCAAAGTACCCATTTGACTCTAACACAGCGTAATCAAAAAAAAAATTCATTCACATATTGGAGTTGAAATTTTTAACATAACTTGATATTAGTTATATACCTAACGGCGATTCATTTGATATTTGTTTTGTGCATCAAGTCGTTTAATTTCATGACAAATTTCAAACTGGGCAATATCACACATAAGCTATATTGACTAAATTGTGGAAGTATCTATGATTGTGGTTGTTTGACATTTATGCAATGTAAACAACATTGCATATTCTATGTAATTGCCTGACTTAAAGTTCCCTTGACATTCCATGAATCAGTTCCATGTCCCATACATAGCAAGGTAAATTTAAAGGTCACTGATTAGCACTCGCTCTAAATAGCATCTCCACAAGAAAAACTTGAATAGAAACAGATAATGCAATGTAAGAATAGGAATAAGTACTATGAACTATAAAAACAGAATTCCCAATGGAGGTGGACAAAGAAAAATATTGGCAACACTAAGAAAGTAATTCCATAAGCTAAAGGCACACTCGCCTTGAAGCTCCGCTGCACTGGCATTCAAGCCTCTCAGCCTTCTAAGTATCTCATCCGTTATCTTTCGTTTCGTGGCCTGCGGCAACTCAACCATATTCTCTACTACAAAATATTTCTCCTTGATNCTGGCACTGGCATTCAAGCCTCTCAGCCTTCTAAGTATCTCATCCGTTATCTTTCGTTTCGTGGCCTGCGGCAACTCAACCATATTCTCTACTACAAAATATTTCTCCTTGATTTGTTTCACCTTTTGCAATAGCAAAGCATATATGACCAATTAACTAACCAACAATAGCACAGGTTACCAAAACTACCAACTTCTCAAATTCAGTACATGAAAAATTCTCAAAAGCAAGTCGCACTTAATTACTAACAATTACCCAAAACGACGAATGAGTCTTACCAATTTGATAAGCTCCACAGGTTTCGATGCTTTACGTATCCTAATTGACTCTTCCATTTTCTTAATCTGATATGGGGTATACTTAAAAGCTGCAGATACGAAAAACCCATCAATAAATAATCATTGTACATTTAGAAAGCAACCAAAATCACAAATGGGCATTCACAAAAATCCAAATAAACAAATGGGTCCTTCCAAAAATCCATTAAATCACTGCGTTACANAAGAAAACAACCAAAATCACAAATGGGCATTCAAAAAAATCCAAATAAACAAATGGGTCCTTCCAAAAATCCATTAAATCACTGCGTTACAGACAAATCCAATCATGACTGGAACTCTTACCGTTCTGTAAATCGTTATAAGGGTAGATGTAAAGCGACGTGTACATAGAGTGAAGAACATAGAGGGTAACACCAATGTTAATTGAACATATGATGATAGTGGTTCGCTTGTACGAACACCATTTGCCTCTCCCATTATACCCCCACTCTGCTCTCGCCATCTTCTTCTTCAATCTCCTTCAACTTCGTCTCCATTCCATCTTCTCTCTCATATTTTCTGTAATATTCTATCTCTGTATCTGTTCAAAATATGCGCATATAAATTACTCAAAAAAAACCGAGAAGATTGAAGAATGTTTCTCGAGTTTCTTATTTTGCCTCCAACGGATCAGTAATGGATCGCATTGATCAATCTCTCTCTCTCTATGGGCTTGTTTCCAATAAAGAACAGTGGAGTAAATGGTATTATGGTTTGGGTGAATAACACTTTATACCCTTAAAAGTATTTAAATTTTAGAATATAATTTTCATATTATACCTTCAACCAATCAGATAAAAAGATAACAATATAGTCCAAAAAAAATTATTGGTTCCTCTTTTTGACATTTTTTTTAATTTTATTTGTCCTATTATTCTATTTTTATATATAATTACTTGTATAATGCTTAATTTTAAGTGTTATTAATGAAAATTTTGTATTGAATTTTTTAAAAATGAAAACACTATTATGATTTGATTTGATTGAGGGTATAATATAAATATTTTATTNTAATTATTGGTTCCTCTTTTTGACATTTTTTTTAATTTTATTTGTCCTATTATTTTATTTTTATATATAATTAGTTGTATAATGCTTAATTTTAAGTGTTATTAATGAAAATTTTGTATTGAATTTTTTAAAAATGAAAACACTATTATGATTTGATTTGATTGAGGGTATAATATAAATATTTTATTTTTAAGGCATAAATTAAAAATATAAAGATTTTTCTAGATGTAAAGTGTCATTTGTTTGTATTAAAGTTTAATTGATTGTTGGGTTTTTTCTGCTTTGCACAGAAAGATTTTAAAATTTTTAATTCATTCGTTCAAAGAATAAATTTCTTTTATTATATTTTAATATATCAAAAATTTTATAATGTAACACTTTNTGTGTGATTTGTTTGTATTAAAGTTTAATTGATTGTTGGGTTTTTTGTGCTTTGCACCGAAAGATTTTAAAATTTTTAATTCATTCATTCAAAGAATAAATTTCTTTTATTATATTTTAATATATCAAAAATTTTATAATGTAACACTTTTGTTAGTTTTTGTTACTTTTTCGGTGAAAAGACAATTCATTGATACTGAAAAAAATTAATAAAAAGATTATATTACAATGTTTTTAATACATTAAAAATATAATATAAAAAATTCTAAGAAATTACAAAATAAAAATGTTGAAATCAGTAGAGAGGATAATTCGCCCTTTGATTGTTTATTTTTCTGTTAAATGGATTTTCTACGTGGGCTCGTTTGGCAGAATGTTGGTTACTGCTCGTGGTTGTGCTAAAATGCGCAGTGGGATCAGGATAAGTGGGTTCAGTTTTGGCGTTTATTGCCGACACTGTGCTAACATGCGCCCAGAGTAGATGCAAATAATGCAAGACATTTAAAAAGCTTCGAAAGGGCCAACGTCTCATTTCACATCCTAGAATTATTGTGTAATAATTAAAAGTTAATGGTTCATCTAATGACCATTTTTTTATTATTAGATATTAAAATTATGAATTCGTATTTTGGCGTCCTCCTCCTTATAATAATGCCCGGCATAAAAATAACAAAAAAATATTTATTTTATTATTATTTTAATTAAAGACTATGAATTATCTAAAATCATACCAAGGCAGAGCCCAATCATAATTCAACACAATCCCCAATCTTAATGGGTTTTTAGTGGGCTGTTCATTGGGCTAGCCCAAAGCCCTAACAAACATACTTTTTCATTTAAGGCTTCTCAACAATGACCTATTTTTTTTTGAGAAATTTGGAGGCTAGTCCTCTTATATGAACTTGTTTGAACTTAAATTCATCAAGAAAATTTATTTGTTATGAAATCCATTTTTGGTCAATTTTACCATACTATCCCTTCTCTTTAGAAGTGAAATAAAACTAAAAATTAAAAACTTATAAATCTTAAGAGTTTGACTAACATTAAAATCTTTTCCCTCTCATATATATCTATATATATATATATATATAGGTTAAGAGTTTGACTAACATTAACATTTTTTTTCTCTCNTTTTTCCCTCTCATATATATCTATATATATATATATATAGGTTAAGAGTTTGACTAACATTAACATTTTTTTTCTCTCTTATATACTAGGTATAACCCATACCTGGAGGCACAGTGTAATGTGAATAATTTTAAAAGTAATGTTTGTGTCTGTTGGATAAATCTATTTAAAATAATCAGATGAACTTATTGAAACCTGCTCTATTTTATATTATAGATTCAACAATAATCAATACAAAGTTACCAATTTTTCAATTCTTTGTTGATCTAGTTAATTCTGTCATAGCAACCACTAAATCAAAAATGAAAAAAATAAAAAGACTATAATTCAATAAAATCAAAGCAATTGAAAAAAAAAACTCACAATAGACTTAAAAAGGGATAGGTGAAAACAAAAGTAATGTTCATAGGATTCCAGAACAACAAAAGTAATAATATTGCGACTTTATTATTTTAGGAAATTATTCTTAAACTAAAGAATTAAATCCAAAACGCTAAAGTACAAATCCTAAAAATCAGACTCAAAATTCTAATATACTGTAGATGTCATCATTCATTATTCAAGGAGTCATCTAAGCCTCCAATTCACTAAAACTACTTAACACCAAATAGGTAACACAATTTCATAGAAAGAGAAAGTATCACATAGTTTAAGCAAGTTTTAAAAAAGTTAGATAAATACCCTCCTTATGCGACAAACAAATATAATTCTCTATTGTTAGTTTAAGCTCTAGAACCTATGAAAAGAAATAATTTTTATGTGATAAAATATTTAGCAAAGAGAAAACAGTTAATTGAGACACTTGGAACCTATGAAGAGAAAGAAAAAGCTTGAGTTCTCCATCCATAAAAAAAAAAAAAAAAAACTCTTCCATACACAACGTAAACAAATTAACCATGTAAGGAATGAGGAGCACAAACTCACAATTAATCAAATTTAGGAGTAAGAAATTTAGGAAAAATTTGAAAGATTTTACACATAATTGTAAACCCCCACATGTTTATAATAATATCATAATAAATCGTATAGAAATTTTAATATATGTAATGGCGTAGGAATGAATCATATGAGTTATAACTGTAGAAATAATGATATTGTGAAAATCTGGATAAATATATGAAATTGTTTGTAATAGAAGTTGTACCAACCATGTTTGATGTGCAAATGTATGTTATATAAGTTTGGGATGACTTTGGAAGGATTAGAAATGAAAAATAGAGGAAACAAGCAGATTCAGCAAAAGCATACCGGCACACCGAAGGCCAGTAGCTAGACTGTATCGGTATGCGTACCGATACGTCGTAGTCCAGTAGCTATACCGTACTGGTATGCGTACCGGTACTCCCGACAGATTTCAGAAAGTTTTAAGTCGCGAACAATTGGTCCTCCTTTTACTATAAATACATAAAGACATCCCATTTAGCCCTATTTCAACACTTTTAACCTTAGAAAACCTTAGAGAGGAAGAAAAAGAGGGAAAAACACAAGATTAAAGGGGCTTTGCACTTTGGATTATTGTTAAATCCCTAGATTTCTTCAAGAATATCAAGGTAGGAGTTCTTTCATTCTTGTCCATTGAGGTTAGGGCTTGTATATATATATTCTTTCACTCTTACTCATATGTACATTCTATGAAACCATGATTCATTGAGATTTTTGCAATCATTACCATGTTTTAAATAAAGTTATGATTATATAACCATGAGATTTCTTTTCTTGTTATAAAATCCTAGTTTTTAAAAGAGATGATTTTTTCTCTTGATTCTTCCTTTGTTATTGAGTTTAAAACCCTAGTGCTTTGTGTTGAGTAATAAAATGATATTGTAATGATCTCTTGTTTATTTACTTAAATTGTTCTCTTGTACAAATTGTGAGAATTGGAGATTTTAGATTTTCTTGTATTTTAAAGAAAATGTTTGCTATTACATCCCTTGTATGGTTGTTGTGATGGATTTGAATTACATTCGAGCACTGCCGTAGAGTGTTAGAGGTTAGTCTATCTCAGTAGGGGTGAGATGGTTACCTAACACTTGTAGTGGATTGTTGTTTGTGAGAGTAACCACTATTATTCACATAAGTTCAAGACTGAGGGTTGATATACCTTTCCTGGGAAGCATTCGTCAATGCCGTAAGAGATGGTATACGTCATTCCTAAAATGTTTGGGATTGTGTGATTGTGGTTGGTGAACAAGGTAGAATCGGGGTGTAGATTCATGAAAAACAACCAACATACATGAGAATATGGGATGACACTATTGAACGATTATTGTTATTGTGTGGAAACGGTTTCCTACAAGAGCTTGCGTAGGTATGAGACTTTACAAGAACTTGTGAAAAATGGTTTATGGTTAGAAATGATTTATTGTTGAAAAATTCATTTTACTGTTCATTTAAATTATTACGATTGAGTACACTTGAGATCAAATAAATAGTCACTATTTTATTTCAAGTTATATATGCTATTTTGAAAAATGAGACCGAACTGTTTCATATGTTTTCTAAACCTTGTTCGAGATTAGGAGAATGTTGCTACAGAGCTTAATGCTCACCCCCTATAAACTATATATTTTTTTTCAGATTGTGGTTTAGACAAGGAGCTCAGAGTTGAGGAGCCGATACATTGAGAAGCTCCACTAGAAAGGCTCGTGGATCCCGAGATGGATGTCTAGGGTGATACTCTCCTAGGTACTAGACTAGAAAATTCTTTTTGAGACTTGGTGGAGTCTAATATTTTTGGTTATTCCGCTGTAACTTAAATTTGATTCTTTTGGATGTAATTGTCATGGTTGGACATATTCTTTTAGGATAATTTTATAAATATTAGATATGATGAATTAATTTTTATTTATTGATGGATTATATTAGTTGCTCTCATGATGTGAATGATTTTAAATTTTAATGCCATTCAAAGTGGTTTTTGCGACGTTACAAATTTTGGTATCAGAGCTTAGGCTTTAGGTCTTACGTGGAAGCTGTAGACTATGAGTTACCACTAGAGAAGTAGGAATAGGTTGAACAAAATTCTTGATTTAAATTTATACAAGTCATATACCTTAGATTAAAAGTATGGTTAGGATGTCTTGTATATCAATGAAACTAAATTATGCATTGATGTGTAAGATGGACGGAGTACGTGGACGTGAA